TTGGAACTGGACGTTTCCAACCAGAAGGTGATCACCAGTCAGTAGGTAATCCAGTTTAGATGATTTACCATCTGACCCGCAGTGGTGTTCTCACCATTTTTTTCGTACAGTCCAGCAGTTTGATGGCATTTTGCAGGCTGCAATCGAACTTCCGTCCTGGAGTCTTGCCACCTTGCTCTAGGCTGGGAGTTGGAGCCTTGAAGTCACAGCTACTAGGCTCCGGCTCTATGGTCGACACCGTGGACAATACTTGGAGTAGTTTTTGGTTGTGTTCCAAGTTGCTGCTAGGGGACTTGTAAATTCCTCCAGCTGGGTGCTTGGCGTGTTGAACCGTGAAGTGGCAACAGACAGAGTCTGGAACATGTCAGTACAGCGTCGGCGGTTCGCCCACTTTTAAACCAAATGTTCACGTATACTGCAACCTCCCCACCGTCCCTGTGTTCTCTGCCTCCCCTGAACAGAAACACGTCGTCTATGTCAACTTCCGTGTCACTAATATCTGGTGGTAACCATGTTTCTGTCAGGACCATGATTTTCGGGACAAGTTCAAAACAGAAGGACCGGAGCTCTGACATTTTATTTAGGAGTCCTCTCAAGCTACTGCAAAGACAATCGGAAGCGCTCCTCGTAACGTGGGCTGTCTCTGGGTCAACTAGTGGCCTAGGTTTGTAACGAGGGTTTTCACTGACTGGTCAGCTCCAACGGAACCGGCCCAGTTAAGCTTTTCCCGGTTGGATTGGTATGGTCGGTGTTATGTGGGGTTGCCGGTCTGACCCTCAACGTGTCGGTTTGGGATGACATCGGTCTGAGCACTGGGAGTAACTTCTGTCTGTTGTCGTCACAGTACTCACTGTCTGCTTTCCAGTAGCAAACATTCCCGCTTTTGGCAATCGACTTCACACCACGTCCCTGGCGCTCTGATGAGAACTTCTGGAGGTTCGAAGGTGACAGTCATTAGTCTAGATGAGGTCACGGTTGTCAGATCCGAGGGGTGTGGCAGTCTGCCGACTGCCACTGCTGCAACCCACTCAGCTCCATCCTGGCTGATAACCACTCCCGTTTTTGGACGTCGTGGGTGTACTTATCACCTGGAGTACTGGTCACCATTTCAGGTATTCCTGCATGACCATAGCTGTGGGCTCTAGTGGATCGGCTGCTTCTCGAGACATCTTTCATGACACCCATGATCGGTCGGGTCTAGCTCTAATGCTGGACGATCTGTTGATGACCAGGGTGTGCGACAGTAAGAGGAACCTTTCGGCGCCACTGGTTGAGCCTAGAGTCAATCTCATTCGCAGAAGCTTCCCTGGGGGTGAATGGGTGCCTCTGAACAGTCGACGCGTTTCTGCCTCGAGAGCGCCCAGACCCAGAACTACTGATAGGGAGTTCTACTGCTACTGTCAAACGTGTTCTTGTGCTCCGGAAGGAATGTTATATAGAATGATACAGCCAGATCGGTCACTGATGCCAACATTGTCCGATCCCATGGGTGCTTTTCACGGGTAATTCAAGCTTTCTCCCCCACTTTAACCCACTCCTTATGTCGTCCGCTGGTTGATGTCGCTGATGTGGTTCCAGAGCTTCGGTGGGTGTGGTTGCCGTTGGTGTAAGACGTGTTTTATTCGGCTCAGAACCGCTCAGGTTTCTGACCTTCAGCGGGCCATTACCGAAATCATTTGAAAAGTGAATCTCCTCCATGATGGTTGGTCGGATGGACGCCTGCCTTTTGGTGGTCACCGGAAATTTACCAGTTACTCAAAGTAGGCTCCAAAATTTGAGCTGCAGAAATCGCAAACGATGACTCCTTATGTTCATGTCTATCTTAATGGAATATGTTTTCGGTTTTGACCACTTTCGTTCTCTCTCGTTCCGGGAAGAAACACAGATAATCAGTCGTCAATTAATCAGCTGTCCAAAGTTCATGTCGCAGCCAGTGGTTGGCTAGGCTACCGGCGGCTTCTTAAATGCAGCCCGTCCATTCCACCGGGCTCTAAATATGTGTTTAGTTTGGTTCTTAAGACAGCAGTAGAAGGGTCTGCGAAAACTTGTTTAGGAAACCGGTTTTAAGCACCCTAATTGCAAAGGAGTTACCAAGGAAAACTGTACGTGTTTTCTAACACCACTGCAAAAGATGACGCCAAAGTTGGGTTTCCTAAAAAGAGCCTAAGCGAGGTCAGTTAGGATGAGGGGGATTATAAAGGATACTACACAACATGGTCGAATCCCTTTCTGCGTTGTACCAGACGCACCTCAAGGACAACTGGGCAAGTTAAGTGGTGTTATTGCTGTATCTCAATCAATTTCTTCATAGCTTCACTTTGAACCTGTGCTAGGATTACGGTCGCCTCGTTCAGGCATGCGCATATCACTAATGAGTTTCTCTTTAGATGAGAATGAATATGTAGTCTACACGCTTCAGTTAAAGTACAGGATTCAGACCCTCTGGTGTCTGAGAAAGAAATCTCGGGATTCCACACACTTTGTCGGCCGCTAACGGTAAATTTTTCCCCTCATGAAATAATCAAGCAGGTGACGAATGTAAGATCCACTCAGCAGCCTTGTAAACATTCGTGCAGTACAGATGTATGCCTTCTGGGAATGTGGTAGATTTAAATCCTAGTTGATCTGCAGAACCATAGAAGCTTTGGGCTGACCTGTTTATGATTGGTTATGATTTCTATCTGTTCTCAACGTTATATTCACTATTGACTGCGATTGAATGATGAAGAACATTTAATGTCCCGAAAAATTTTGCCCACTCGACTTGCCCACTAGATTGCTTGGAATAAATATGTTATACTTCTTTAGGATTTGTCCTGGTGCGAACTTGACAGACACAAAGTCCAATCACTAATTATTCGGACTTGTTATATACCCACGAATACGAGACCAAGGAAGAACACGATAGCGTAGTCGGATGGAATAGTATATTTGGATGGTTGTGCCAAAATACCGATGCGTTCCAACTAACTGGCTAGAGAGTCGAATACGAGCAGTGCAACGTAAGACGACAGCGTGCCAAATGGCGAGGATGCTTGACCGGGTGCCTTCAGCTTAGCGAGTCCAGTTAAACTATCAAAATCAGCATCAATGTTGAAAGTCGCCAAACCCTAGGCTATTGATTTTGGAGAAGTGTGTGATGCTAGACTTCTACCACTGACTTTTTATCTGCTACGTTGTGGTTGCCTAAAACAATTTGTTCAGAGCGTTTGCCATAAGCCCCTGGGTCCAACAGACTCACTGAATAGCGGAAGGTGACAAGGGACGGAGATGTAAAAAGGGAAGTTAAGGGAAAATGTCCGGTAGCTTTAGAAAAGGGAAACTATGAAAACGGCGCGGGAGTGAAATGAAGTGAACACCGCCATAAAAATTAGGTAGGAAAGAGGGCGGGAGCGGGTAGGAAATGGAAACGGTAACAGTGGTCAGTGAAATGGTAACTAGAGAGGTAAGACGTTCATCACTGCGTATCTGTCCATACCATTCTGGAAACCGTCAATAGACGGAGCGTTAACTGCCTCATCAGAGTCTGGAATTTAGTGATTGCGGATTAGGAGAAGGAAGACGTATAATCCCTCACAAGTCCCTGCCCTTTTACAGGAAATTCGATTGGGGATTTTCTGACGAGCACCATTCTGACCACCGAATAGTAGTCCCATGTCCGTATGGCCCAGTATTTTGTAGGCCACCATCAACTTGGCAGATATCCTACTTAATATCCACACAAGAATGCCTCGAACCTTCAGTCTACCACCACACCCTCCTTTTTACAGTCAGACTGTATTAAGTGTGGCTCATCTAGGATTTTTCTGAGGGTAGTTCGCGCCCCTTTCACGTGTGGTTTCGTATCCCCTTTACGAACTCTTATGCAACCTACATTGCTCCTGCATGTCGTGATG